AGAAGAAGAAAGAAAACAAAGAGTAAAAAAAACCCCTCAAAATCTAAATCATCAAAATTTAAAACCAAATATCTTGGAAGATACTTGAAATAATTACGACAAAGGACTATTACCTGTCAATGGAAAAAAACACCAAACTCCGTAAAATAATTTTAAAGAGATTTACTCTGAGCCAAATTTGAGGACCATGACCCGGAGCCACGCCCAAGAGGCCTTGAGCAAGTGGACTGGCAGAGGTTGGGTTACAGTTTAAAGATTCTTTGGCTTGTAACTGGTTAAAGACATGAAGCTTTGTCTAAAGGCTTGGAATGTTTTAACATAAGAAACTCTTTATCAGAGATAAGCCACTGGACATGTTTGTTGTGTAAATTGAGGACCTGCAGGTTTGTCTTGCAAACCCTTAGGCCTGTTAATGGGTTACAAAGGATGTCACCAAGAAAGGAGGGGGGCATGATAAGGCACGTCTGACCTCCTTCCTCCTGGCAGGCAATTTAGTTTTAGGATAGTCCTTTGGCCACGAGGGGGTCCACTTAGTCAGCTGGTGGGGGGGAGGGGTGAGCCTTAAAATTTTATTTTAGTTCACATACCAGTACTATAAAAAGCAAAGCACTCATATAAACTGATAAGGAAAACATTAAAATCCCTGCCTAAGAATGAATGAAAGAAGAAAGAGTTCACAAAAGAAAAACATCTACTTAACCAACTTAGAGGAAAATGACCAGCCTTGCTACTAAAAAATGCAATACAGACTAAAATAAATATTTCCCCTGATCCACGTAGCCAAGACACTAAATCAGACGACTGGTACTCTAACACTGCTTCAGGAAATTGGGGAGCAATTTGGGAAGATGTAGGAAGATTTCAAAGGGGTTCATAACCCAAAAACTGCCTAGCGAGCGTGGACCACTACACACAGTGGTGGGAGAGTGGAAGGAGCCCATCTGACCCCAGAACCTTGGACCTAGTCATCTTCCGGAAATCTACCCTAAGGAAATTAACTTACCAACTTAAAAAAATGGGCATAAAAAACATTCATTGCAGAATAATATGTTAAAAAAGGAAGGCATAACCAGAAATACCCAATGTTCAAGTTCTAGATAGAAAATAGGTAATAAAAACAGAAAAAAGTATTCAGATATATTATTAAGTAAAAAATGGATACTGATTGTACAACATAATCACTGTTAAAAACATAAATAAAAAGAGATCCACGTGCTAAACTACTAATACCGACTTCGACCTAATGAGCACACAGGACCCGCTGCGGTACAGCAGGCAGCGCGGCAGGACTCAGCACCTCCAAGAACGAACTACTGGCCCCGACAGCACAGGTGAGTGTCAGGTGCAAGGTGCCACGTAACAGAGGCCAGACTTAGACCACATCCTGTGTGGGTCACTGGCGTGACCTTCTGGACAAGGCAAAACCACAAAACCACGTGGACAGAGGTCAGAACAGGCTTGACAGGCTGACGGTGGAGAAGGAGCTGACCAGCAGGAGGCGTGAGGAAATCTGGGGGCTGAGGAACTGTTTCTGTAGCTTGATTTGTGATGGTGGCTACAGGACAGAACGTGGGTGTCAAAAATTCACAGAACTGTACACTCAAAAATAGGAACTTTTACCACATGTAAATTATACCTCAATTTCAAAAAAAGGCTCCCGACCTCCGTGAACTCACAGTCAAGCTAGAGAAACAAACGTATCAACTACAACGCAAAGGAACTGTTTCACCGCAACAGTGCTTCCCCAAAACATGGTATAGGAACCCCAACGGATAGCAAAGCTGTCAACAATGGCTGAACTTCTTAAATTTTTAATGCCTATGTTTCTAATTTTAACTCGATTTTAATTCTAATTTTAATTCAACCCTCTACAAAAAGAGATGCTGTTACACACAAACTTACTTTGAAATGCATCAAAAAATGTTTAAAAGATGAAGGAGGTTAAGGTAAAGCAGTGATAAAAACTAGGTGGTGGGGCCGGGGGTGGTGGCTCACGCCTGTGATCCCAGCACTCTGGGAGGCCGAGGCGGGAGGATCGCTTGAGGTCAGGAGTTTGAGACGAGCCTGAGCAAGAGTGAGATCCCATCTTTACAAAAAACAGAAAAAATAGCCGGGCGTGGTGGCGCATGCCTGTAGTCCCAGCTACTCGGGAGGCTGAGGCGGGAGGCTGAGGCAGGAGGATCGCTAAGCGAGCCCAGTTGTTTGAGGCTGCTGTGAGCTAGGCTGATGCCACCGCACTCTAGCCCGGACAACAGAGCGAGACTACGTCGGGAAAAAAAAAAAAAAAGATCGGGACAAGAGGAAATGGCGACAGATGAAAACTCCTTTCCAATCCTGGTATAAAAGGAAGCTAAGACCTCAAAAAGGGTAGCTAGAGGGTACATGGGGTCAAGGGCAGGTTTGCACGTAGATGAGAACGCTTTGCAGGGAAAATAAACCGAGGCAAGACGGAAGAGGACCACGCCACAGCAGAGCATCTCAC